AATCATCACTTTCAATTAATACATAGCTTGATTCAAAACGGGTAAAATAAGTGAGAATACTCTTTCAGATGATTGACTTAACATGTAATGATTAATTAGTTTGATATGTTTCACATCTTGATTTCTGGAGTGGAATAGGCGAACATAATAATGATCATAGTTATTCGTTCCTCGCGTGGCTTGAACTCATACCACAATCTCAAAAGCACTATAACACGGTTCGCAAAACTGATGAAAAGCAGATTAGTTCAGAATATTTGACAACTATGCAATCTCTCAGTTAATAAGGAACTCGCAAGCATCATTTCAGCATCTCGAAAAATAAGTGATCACAATCTTGCAACCTGTTATTCACGTTCCTTTGGGATGTGATGTTGAATGAGATGACCCAGTCGCAACGTTTGCTTCGAAGTAAGCAAAAAATGTAAAGAAAAGTATCGTGAGAAATGTTCCTTCGGGATGTGATGTTGGATGAGGTGACCGAGTCGTAACGTTTATTTCGAAATGCGGAAAAGAGGGGAAGCGAAGTTTGATAGTGAATGTTCATTTGGGATGTAATGTTGAATGAGATGACCCAGTCGCAACGTTTGCTTCGAAGTGAGCAAAAAATGTAAAGAAAAGTATCGTGAGAAATGTTCCTTCGGGATGTGATGTTGGATGAGGTGAGAGAGTCGCAACGTTTGTTTCGAAATGAGGAAAAGAGAGGAAGAAAGGTGTGATAGTGAATATTCATTTGGGATGTGATGTTGGATGAGGTGACTGAATTGCAACGTTTGCTTCGAGGTGTGGACAAGAGGGGAAGAGAAATATCCTTTGATATGTTCTTTTGTGATGTGATGTTGGATGAGGTGACCACATCATAACGTTTGCATCGAAGAGAGGAAAAGAGGAGAATAGAAGTGTCTTGTTGGAAGTTCCTTTCAGATGTGATGTTGAATAAGGTAGCCGAGTCGCATCGTTTGCTTGGAAATGAAGAAAAGAGGGGAATAGAAGTGTAGTAGGGAATGCTCCTTTGATATGTGATGTTGGACGAGGTGACCGAGTCATAACGTTTGTTTCGAAGTAAGTAAAACAGGGGAAGAGAAGTATCCTTTGGAATATTCCTTTGCGATGTGGTGTTGGATGAGGTGACCGAATCGCGACATTTGCTTCGAAATGAGGAAAAGAGGAGAAGAGAGGTGTCTTGTTGAATGTTCTTTTGGGATGTGACATTGGATGAGGTGACCGAGTCGCGACATTTGCTTCGAAGTGAGGAAAGGAAAGGAACAGAAGTCTCTTATTGAAAGTTCCTTTGAGATGTGATGTTGGATGAGATGACCGAGTCATAACGTTTGCTTCAAAATGCGGAAAAGAGAGGAAGAGAAGTATCCTTTGATATGTTCATTTGCGATGTGATGTTGGATGAGGTGACCGAGTCATAACGTTTGCTTTGAAGTGAGAAAAAGAGGGGAGCAGAAGCGTCTTGTTGGAAGTTCCTTTGAGATGTGGTGCTGAATGAGGTGGTCGAGTCGCCACTTTGCTTCGAAGCGAGCAAAAAAGGTGAACAGAAGTGTTTTGAGAAATGTTCCTTTGATATGTGATGTTCGATGAGGTAACTAAGTTGCAATGTTTGCTTCGAAGTGAGGAAAAGAGGTGAAGAGAAGTGTGATAGTGAATGTTCACTTAGGCTGTAATATTGGATGAGATGATCGAGTCGCAATGTTTGCTTCGAAGCGAGCAAAAAAGGTGAACGGAAGTGTTTTGAAAAATATTCCTTTGATATGTGATGTTCGATGAGTTAACTGAGTCACAATGTTTGCTTTGAAGTGAGGAAAAGAGGTGAAAAGAAGTGTGATAGTGAATGTTCCTTTAGCATGTGATGTTGAATAGGGTGACCGAGTCGCAACGTTTGCTTCGAACTGAGCAAAGGATGTGAAGAAAAGTGTAATGAGAAATGTTTCTGTGGAATGTGATGTTGGGTGAATTGATCGAGTCACAATGTATGCTTCGAAGTGAGGGAAAGGGGCGAAAAGAAGTGTGGTACTGAATGTTCATTTAGGCTGTGATATTGAATGAGTTGATCGAGTCGCAATGTCTGCTTCAAAGTGTGGAAAACAGGGGAAGAGAAGTGTGGTACTGAATATTCATTTGAGATGTGATGTTGGATGAGGTGACCGAGTCGTAACGTTTCCTTCGAATTGAAGAAATGAGGGAAACAGAAGTGTCTTGTTAGAAGTTCCCTTGAGATGTGGTGTTGAATGAGGTGGTCGAGTCGCCACTTTTGCTTCGAAGCGAGCAAAAAAGGTGAACAGAAGTGTTTTGAGAAATGTTCCTTTGATATGTGATGTTCGATGAGGTAACTGAGTCGCAATGTTTGCTTCTAAGTGAGGAAAAGGGGCGAAAAGAAGTGTAGTAGTGAATGTTTCTTTAACATGTGATGTTGAATAGAGTGACCCAGTCGCAACGTTTGCTTCGAAGTGAACAAAAGAGGAGAACCGAAGTGTGTTGTTGAAAGTTCTTTTAGCATATGTTATTGGATGATGTGATCGTGTCGCAATGTTTGCTTCGAAGCGAGGAAAAGGGGCGCAAAGAAGTGTAGTAGTAAATGTTCGTCTGGCACGTGGTGATGGATGAACCGAGCGAGTCGCAACGTTTGCTTCGAAGCGAGGAAAAAGGGCGTAAAGAGGTGTCGTACTAAATGTTCGTCTGGCACGTGGTGTTGGATGAATTGAGCGAGTCGTAACGTTTGCTTAGCAGTGAGCAAACGAGGCGAAGAGAAATGTGATAGTGAACGTTCTTTTGAGAAGTGATGCTGGATGAAGGGACCGCGTAGCAACGATTGCTTTGAAGTGCGGAAAAGAGGTGAAGAGAAGTGTAGTAGGGACTGTTCCTTTGTCATGTGGTGTTGAATGAGTTGAGCGAATCGCGACGTTTGCTTCGAAGTGATGAGAGGAGGTGAACGAAGCAATCATTTATGTGTATGTGGGAAACACTAACTTTCCTTACCAGAGTCATAAAACGCCTTATTCTAAACATATCTGTAGTTGTACTAAGATTTATAATTGAATAAAAATCGAAGAGTAAAATGACATAAATCGGATCTGCCGGGTGGAATACATCGAATGCGAGCGTAGGCAAATGTTCATAATAGATATTGCTGGTGTGGGATGTATTTTTAGTGAATAATAGTTATAAAATTGATAAATTAATGAGTAAAAGTACGTAAAACTATTTTAATAATTTAACATGGCGAATTCTATAAAGTAGTATATAATACGATGATAAAAAAGAAAAATGAAAAAAAGCAAATGAATATTTCACGCATTGGAGTATCTTTCGAGCCAATGAAGACTTTGATTCATGTTTTATTGTTCATTAGAGATGATTCATTGATATGGTCGTAGTGGAATAGATGTACTTATTGAAAGAAAGTATCGGATAAAACAAAGTATTTTTAGGGAAACACTCAAAGATTGTATTTGTTTAGAAGTAATTTAAATTATTCTTTGCATTCCTGTATTAAGAAAACATGGAGCTATTAAATTTAGATTTGAAAAAAGTACTTACTCTTATTTATGGATAGATTTGATAAAATACATCTATGCAAGAACGGACGATGGTTTTGAGATAGTTTCAATGTCAATACTCATCTCTTGAATCTGATTATCTTGACTGTTGAACATATGAAATTCATGTTCAATATTCGACTCAATAAAGAATTGAATCGATTACAAGATGATGTAGCTGCTTTTTTAACAATTCAATTACGAAATCGATATTTCACCAAAATTTTGATAAGACAAATTTTATGCAATGTCAAAAAATTCAGTATTTGAGCCTTTTCAGTGGATTACCAAGAATAAGAAGAAATATCATATATACCACTTTGTAGAACAATTCAACCTCTATCGATTAGTATATAACTCAATTTGAATAGTGGAATACTTTGAAGTAAAAAATTCATAAAAAGAAAAGGTTGAGTTTCTGACATTTTTTAGAGGAATTTTTGAAGATGTCACAAGTTAATCGATGCTATCTCAGTCTAAGTAGATCTTGAGATCGTAATATCTTGAATTCATATATCGGCACGGCCAGCTAACGGTCCTCTTCGTTGGGGAAGGTTCGAATTCAAAATCGAAGGAAAATGAGTATACTATGGAATAGAGTACATCTGATAGTGTAAAGAAAAAGTGTTATTAGTCACGGAATACATGCTCATTAAACGGCAGTAGCGCTATTCTTTTCTCCAATGAACTTATCATAAAACGACATCTCTAAATCATCATAATCTAACCGTTAAAAAGTGTTCATATTAAAGTTGAATTGAATCAAATTTCACATCGGTAGATAGAAGAAGATATGTTCTTTCAAAATATCAGCTGCCCAAAAGAATCCAGTTGTTGCAGAGATCTATCAATTCCTCAAAAAACGTCTGAGTTTTTCATGAAATTCCGAAACGAAAAATGGTTATAATGTGTTTCCTTCACTTGGGATACAAATTCATTTTATAAAAATGATATCACTGGATAGATCTTTTCGAGATCTATCCAGTGATATCATTTTTATTGGTCATCGGCTCTAGTTTTGTATATTTATACTCAAAATACTTCGTTACGGAATTTCTTATATATCATATACAAGGTGTAATATAACCTTTATGCCCCCATGTAAAACTCACACTATAAATGATACTATACAAGTATCTTATACCAAATTAAAGCTCGTCAAAAACTATATTTATGGGCATGATTAGAAGAATTATTAACTTATGAAATTATCGAAATGCCTTGGGATGTCTTACATTACGTGTCAAAATGCACTCGTATTTTACGATTTTCGTTCTTTATGCTGGTAGTTTCACTAAAAATAATAGCAGATTCGAAAACTAAGTCAAAAACTGCATCTAAAAACATAGTAT